TTTTCATAAGAATCCCATGAGGGAAATACTATTATTCAAATTATAAAATGTGAAAATAGAGACATAAGGAAGATAACAAACTTAAACATGTTATAAATGGATCTTTGTTCTTAGTGCTTCATCATGATGCCATCTCAGTATATACTATGTTCTGTATAACATAAATGAATGTGAGTCAATACATACAATTGCTTGCACATAGACTAGTGTTGGATCCTCTGCATAGGTGTCTTTCCATGATTCTTGCCATTCAGGAGCTTACAGTTGGCATATGCCGGTCTTCTGTAGAGAAGAACATCCTACCTGGGGATTCCTGCCTGTCATCCAATAATAGTCAGGCAGCTCATTTTTCATGGACTTTCCTGGTTCATTCCTTCAGTGCCGAATCAAGTCTCAAGTGAATGCAGTCTTAAATAGTATGTAAAACTCAACTCCTCTTCCCCCTCTATCTTCTGAGGTATCTAAAGTCATTGTTTCAAGAGAATCTTTTTCAAAACACTAATTCATCAGACTAGAAAACTGAAAAGTCTAGGTTGAGCCCTCCTCCTACCTCTAAATAGCTAAATAAATTTAATGAAATTACTTCACGTCTATGAAATCCAGCTTTTTCAACTGCGCATTGAAAATAAAGTACTTGTATCACAGAGTTTTTCTAAAGATCAAATAAAGGGTACAGTGTTTGAGAATGCTTTTCAACTTATAAAGCACTTTATGTAGCTATAAAGTTGGAGATAATTATAACACAAATGCTAGAACTTGGTATGTTTTTCTTCTATATAACCCTGTAAAGTTTTCAAAGCAGCTGTGCCTTGATAAATTACAGGATAACATCCTCTTAATCATAACATTTACAAAGTCTTTTTTTCTTTTATATAAATATAGAAGGCACTCAGTAAATGTTTGGATGGAAGGATAGATAGTTGGATGAATGGAAGAGAGGAAGAGAGAAAGCACATGCTTTTAAATTTTAACATATTACTTGATATGAACTATGTAGGTATGTTTGAAGAGTAGGAATCCTTAAGCAAGATACCATGAACTGTTGTGTCAATAACTTGTTTGTCTGCTGTTTGTTTTTCATTCAACAAAAAATTTATTGTGCAACTACCATATGCTGGGTATTGTGCCAGTTTCAGAGAAACCACAGTTGAATAGGTCATATTTTTGGTGACCATTTCTTTAGCTGCCCATTTTGCCCCTTAAGCACTCCAAGGCATGCTGAATAAAATGACACATGTACATGCACACAAAGAGTCCAGCACTGTTGCTATACTTGTCAAAATCTCATCTTTGGAATGATTTCCTGATCATTCTTAATCATTCCAATAGAACTACAGCTGAATGTGCAACCTGTGAACTTTCTATGGGTTGTGGAATATGTTTATGTGGAGAGGAGGGAGCTCTGCCCACCTTCTCTCACTTTTCCCTGTGTGTCCTTGGGTCTTGTTCTCAGGAGCAGTCCATGCCAAGCTCTGCAGGACCATGCTAATGGAGAATGTCAGCTTTTCATGTAGTCTCACAGAAAGTGTCACTTATGCACTGCTGTTGCAGAAGGTGTGGCAGTAGGCAGTGTAGAGAACTTTCCAGAAGGGAAAACTGGGCAAGACCTGCCTCTTGTCAGTGCTGTATGAGGTTGATGGCTGCCTGGTCTCTTTACGACCAGAGAATTAGAATATTGGGAGGGTGTTATTGGTTCTCTTTCCAGGAAAGATGCTTTTCCTGGTACATTAGAAAAAGCACTATATATATTGTATACTGATAATGGCCAAGGAAGAACCTTGGTTCATGATCCATTTCTCTCACTGTGGAGATGAGTGAATTAGTTCACACTTGTGACAGAATTGGGGCTGAAGCTCAGATTTCCTCTCAGCTTCAGTACATAGTGAACTAACAATTCCAGATATTTTTCCTTTATGCAAGACAATTATAGCATCACAAAGTTAGAGTATAAAAAAAAACAAGAGTTTTGGCATCAGAGACAACAAAGTCAAATACTGGCTTTGCTTCATATACCTGTGTGACATGGGGCAGTTACCTGAACTCTCTGGTAAAAATATTGTTGACTCTTGGTGACTCTTGGTGAATGTTGGTGACTTTGGTGTTCACGGTGGTTACAGTGGTAGTGATGATGACACAGCTACCATTGTTCAAATATCTGTTTTTAAACATTTTTGCAATATCAAAGCAATCATATGATTTATTATTTTCTTCATTTTATAGCAGATCTTTCTCTTTTCGAATTCTATTACATTTCTCGTTCATTCTTAGGTTCTAAGCCTAGATACATTAAGAGTGAATCTGTTAGAGAAGAAACAAAGAAATATTTCCCATAAATGCTTTTCTCCAGTTTAAGTCCTTGTCAAAATTAAATGATCTTGTAAGGTTAGCTTTGTACTTTATATAGGTAGAACCAATAAATATGAGTTACTCCCAAGAATTCTTAGAATTTATTTCTAACAGAGGACCAGCAGTGATCAACCTGTGTTCTGTTAGGGATCTCAGCATCAACAGTGTGAAGACTTCAATATTTTGAGATGTAGATAGCAAACACTCATTACCCACTCATTGGATTTTTGTCTCAGTGGTAAGGAAACAACACTTTGGAATCCAATTACCTGAGTAAGAATCACAGTCCTGATTCATGCAAGTGCTGTGATCCTGGTGAAGTTTTTTATTTGTTTGTTTTTTCATTTCTAAGCTTCAGTTTCCTCTCTATAAAACAAGGACAATAATAGTACTTTCCACATTAGTCAGTTGTGTTAAGAATAAAATTAGACATGTCAAGAGAGAGCATATAAGAAAAGCTCCATTAAAATTTGCTCATAATCCAGTTTCTTCCTTGTGGTCTGAGTGGGGATCCACATCCCTCAGGGACAGTGCAGGAAACACATGCCACACTAAGTGTTTAAAAAGGAGAATTTCACATGCAGAGAGAATGGTTCCCTGGTGACGAAGGCTCTGAGAGGCTGGAGATAATAGAATGGAAGCTACTACCACCCAGAGGACCCAAGACAGAGTGTGGACACTACGGGTGGTTCACACCAGTGATACTGCAGCTATGGCCATGCTGTCAACACAGCTGGATGTGGAAGGGAAATCTCCCACCACTGGAATCTCCCTCTGAGACAAAGGAAGACAAGGAGACATGATTTGACTTTCGCTCTCCTCAGCCCTTGGATCTCCTGGCAGGCTGGATTGTGGCTGAGTCCAGAGACTGCAATCTGTGGGGGCAGCCCCACCATGCTGAACAGAGTAGGAGCTTGTTCTGAAAACAGATGGGCCCAGACTCCCACAGGCTCAAGTCCCTGACCTTAGTTGCTTGGTTGCTAGGAATTTTAATTCCTGTGATGAGCAATTCAGAAGGTTCAGAGGAGCTATACTCCCCTCAGCTGGGCCTCTGAAAAACAGCAGAGGTATACAAGTTGCGCTCAGAGGGAAGATCAGGGAAAAGCCTAGGAAACTGTAAGAGGCTTCTCTGTGGCTCCTAGACCCATATCTTCTTAGCAAAACCTGCTTGCTGAGAAGTCTGTGCTTCAGTATCTGAAAATATGTGGCCTAATAAGACACCCCATCCTACCTTTCCCCAGCTAACTGCTGTGGGACAGTACGAACTGAACTCCTTGAGCCATCCCTCCAGGCCTCTGCAGAAATGCTCAGTTTTGGACTTGCTTTCTCTCCTCCGACCGTGGCACCCTCATCAGCACAGGGACCCTTGTTCTGTATCTTGCATCATCCAGCATTCATACTCTCACTTTCTGCCCTGAGACAGCAACTGTGGCAGGCACCGAGCTGCCAAGTATGTGAATAAAGCAAAGCCAGCTTCCTCTGGCTTTTCTCAGAGAAGGTGATCAGGCGGTTCTTGAGCTCTCAAAATTGCCAGTCTTTTCTATTGAGGATGTCCAGTAGTGCATGAGAACTCTAAACAGGAAGATTCCATCTTTCCTATAGGACCAGGAAGCCCTTCCTGAGAAAGTAACATCTGCGTTAGGAGTGAATAGGAGCCAGCCTCATGGAGAGGTTGAGGAGCTGCGTTCCAAGCAGAGGAACCAACACATGCAAAGGCGCAAAGGAGCATCCTGTGTTCTAGATTGAGAAGTAGGCAGCAGTATGTGGAGAGAAGAGGTCAACAGGGAGGGTTTCTGTCCTACATCTCATCGTCTGATCCCTGCCCGCACAGTTCCTCCTCTCTTCATGTTGTAATATGCACTTCTTGTCTGTGGCTTCCACATCACACCATGTGTCGTTTTGTGCACAGATTACTCATTGGATATTTGAATAAACGAAGGTGGAATAGCACTGACTAGCTCTTTGGTCATGTTTCTAATTTCACTTGCCCAGCATGAAGAATACAGTCTGCAGAAAAGCCTGAGTTGCTACCCTTTATGGGAAACTGCTATGTGACATTCTTTCAACAAGGACTCACACTCACTCTCCCTCTCCTTCACACTTGGAGCCCTGCAGTAAGCAGAGTAAGGTCAGTAACCTAAGGATACCAGAAAGATTCAGGTGTGAGGAAGTTCCTCTCTTCCTCCCTTCTTTGAAATTGAGTATGAGGCATTGAGCCGGATTCCATGCTTCCACTCCACTCCTTACTGCAGCGTGACCATGGGCAAGTTGGTCAGCCTCTGTAACCATGGTTTCTCCCTGATGTCTGTCTGTGGCATTCCTAACATCTACCTGACAGGGTTAATATTCAGTGAGAGCACTCATGTAAATGTCCAGCATGTTCCTGCTCCTTAGTGAGCACAAAATAGCTGGTGGTTACTGCTTTTCGTGTGGAAGTAGGTCCAGTTACTCTTATTATACAAGATCGGTATCGCACATGGGTCAGAGTGAAACAAAACAGAGCAAGTTTCCTTATTCCCTTGGCCGGTGAGTAGGCTGGCCTACACATGGAACAGAGAGGGTTTTATGCTTGTTTTTTGACTTTCTTTCCTTTCCTTTTTTTTTTTTTTTTTTTTTTTTTTAAGAGAGATTTGTTTTGTTTCACTTTCTTACAGGAGTGATTGGTGCAGATGTGACGGGTCATGGCCTCAGCTGTGAGGGACAGCCAGTGACATCACGGCTGGCTGTCATCTGTGGAACATCCTCGTGTCACATGGGGGTGAGTGTGCTAAGCACCAGGGCAAAACCACTGCACATGAAGGCAGGACAAGGAGTGGTGGTAGTGGCTGTTTCACCCTGCCTTGTCGCTCTTTTCCCTCCTTGCCCCTTAGGGCTCTGTCTAGCCAGGAGCCCCCAGACTGCCCTTCCCACAGCCTGATTTAGATTTGCCCAGGCTTTTTCCAGGGGCCAAATTCTTAAAAGCATGCATCGATAGAGTCTACCTTTGAGAACAACCTGACCAGAGAACACAGGCATGGTGAGTGAAGTTGGGCCCAAAGATGACAAACTCTCACTGCTCTAGAACCTTCTGTCTCTGAGGGTAGCATAGTCTTCTCCTAGAAGTGTGTCTCCTCCTTGGCTCTCAGGCTGTCCAGGAGCATCCTGATGAGCTGGAGAATTAGGCTGCATATTGTGACTTCTGAAGAACACTGATAAGCAAGTTTTACTTTATCAATTTTTCTCTGTGAATTAATAGAAAAGCTCTCCCTAAAATTGCACTTAAAACTTAGGCTTCCCCTAAAATTTATGCCTTCTTTAAATGTATGAGTCTGAAAGTATTCTATTTTGGTAAGTACCTATTTCTACCATATTTTTATTTTCAGCTCATTACTTGGTTAAACCCAGATGGACGACTCCTTGGATTTTTCCCAAATGAGTACAATAGAGGATGAGCAGAGAATAGAATGGGACACAGCCCAGGGCAGAATTGCCTGAAATTTGGAGGAAAGCATGTGCCATGCAATACTAGTTAGTGCCTGTTGGGACCACACAGAGGCTTTTTGTTGTTAGTAGACCCTTTGAGTAAATATTGATGCAATTACTTATTTGCTGATCCCTGCTATTATGTCCTCTCAGTGCTAAACTCTGGAGATATAAGGATGACATGGACCCGCCCATAGACTAGATAGAGTTATAACAGATATTGCAACATGAGGCTCCAATACAGGTTCATACTAAAATCATGATAGTGAGTATGTTATGTGCCAGGCACTCAACAAGGTGTTCTCGAATGTGGCATTCTGTGTCATAGAGATATTTGAGCCACCCAGCTAGTTTCTAGTCCCACTTACTCCACTTCCTGAGAATGGGCCATTGGAAAAGGTATTCAATCCTCTGGGTCTCAGATTCCTCGTGAAAAATATGGAGTATGACAGCCTGTGTCTTCTGATGTGAGGACTGAATAAGGTAAAGTGCTTCACATGAGTGAGCACTTCCCCAGGCCTACTCTTGTTTACCAGCACTCTCATTACAGGGCAGCAAGGTGAGAGTGGGTCTGTCAGGAAGGTCTGGAGTTTCAGAAATCTTTCTGGGGTGACATTTGGGATAGACTTTATGGACATGCATTTCCTTTTATTTGTTTCTCTGGGCTCTAGGTTGTGTTAAATGGAAGTTTCTTGACCAATTTTTTTATAAAAAGTTCCACGTTTCTTCCCCTTTAGCAACCCTGTGGTGAGGGCACTGAGGAGAGGCCAAGGCCCCTTTTGGCAGGAAGTATCCAAACATCAGGCCAGCTTTTATTTCCCTTGACATGGGTCTATACTTGTTCACTTGTCTTTACTAATCCATGATGTAAACCCATTTAAACCATCCCCTAATTTTAGTAGGACAAACCTGCTTTGGCTTTCCCCACCAAGCATGAGTATAGGCATGTGTAAGCCACTCAGTTTGGACTTCTGAGCAGACACACATCTAAATGAAAGTCACTCTGCAGTGCTTTGCACTATCTCTTCACTGAATGATACAGGCCTTTTCTGTCTTATAAATGGGGAAACTAAGGCATGGAAAAGTCCAGTAATTTTCCCAAGGTTACAAACATATTAAGTTCTGGATCAGGGACTCAGTTGGCTGTGTGGCCCAAAGCTCACACTCCTAGCTACAGCATGGTATTGCACGTGCTGACCATGAGCCTGGTGAGGAGTGGGGAAAGCAGGTGCCTGTGGTTGTTAGATACATGCAAGGACATCTTTCCATCCACTAATAGGCCTTGTGACTTGAGTAAGTGTCTTAGTTCCTTTCCTCTCGTTGCCGAGACAACATACCCAATGCCCAAAATTATGGAAGGAACAGTTTATTTAGCTCACAGTTGTGGAGGTTTCAGTCCATACTTGGCTGGCTCCAAGGCAGAGTGGCACATGGCAGAGGGCAACTGTTTATGGTGGCAGAAAACAGCAAAAGTAACAAGAGCAAAAAGGGAGGAGTAGCAGGCAAGCAGCCTCTTTCTCTGCCTTACAAATGTAAATTATCTGCCCCAGGGCAGATGTAGCACTCATACCCATAATCCCAGCATTGGATTGTGGATTAATCAAAAATCTAGAAACCTGCCCCATGACTGCATGAAGATTTGGGGGTACGTGTGGACACAAACCATAACAGTAAGCTACTGAACTTCTCTGAGCCTTGGATTCTTCATGTGTTGAACTGAGGCCTGCTGGGTATCATGCCTCATGGGTACATATACCTGCCACATAAGAGACATTCAGCAATGGAGGCGATTCCAGTGAAACTTTCCCAGTGACATGAATGGCTCATATGAAGCAGCTGTTCCCGCTTTAATGAATTTGATGGGCAGCTGCAGTTGGCTGCAATGAATAAGGGCCATAAAATGTCAGTTTATGATGTCCTGTCTTACTGGAAATACTCTCCCTACCCTCACTGGCTTTGTACTTGCCAGTGGGAATTGGCCTTCTGGGCCAGGGGGATTAGTCACTGGTTTTAATGTTATGTCATGATGGTGAGACTGTGGTCACACTGGCATCAGGAAATGCCTTTGATCTCCCTCAGGTGCTGTAAGCCCAGCAAGCCAGCAACAGTATCACCTTTGTGAGGTCTAGGTGAGGTGCAGTCTGAGGAATGCTCCCAAGGAAACTCAAGGACCCCTTTTGTTGTGATTCTGGCAAGTAAACCACCACTGTCAGGAAAAATTTACCAAACAGAACACAGGGCCAAGGGTCTGTGAGATTTGCAAAAAGTGGTTTTCAACATGATCTGAAGGATTCTCCTTCTTCCTGTCTGCTTACTTCTGATGTTTCTAATTCAGTGAGTTAATTGAAACAGAATTCCCAAGGGCATTTTGTACTTGATCCAGATTGCTTCTTTCTAGGTCACCCCCAAAGAATGAGTGAAGGAATGAACAAGTCATTGACTATTGATAAACACTGAGAAGGCCCCTGCTTCCAGGAATCTAGAGAGAAAGCCCGAGGTAAAACCTAACAAGTACTAATCAGGCCTTTGATATTTTAGAAGGTACAAGTGTGGGCTGCACATTTATCTTCCTTGTGGATGATTTAAGTAACAAGGAAAAGATGCTGTTCTTTTTTTTTTAATTGCATGAAAGAAGAGCTGCCTGCTCACAGTTAATTACCACCAAGTTGCTGAAATTGAGGATAACACAGCAGGGTGAGCCAGAGGTTGAAAAGTCACCAGGTCAGGCCCTGATCCTGCCTTTGCTCCAGCAACCTTCTCTGGTGCTGGCAAGTGGAGTTGCAGTGTGGCAGCTTGTCCTCCAGCAGCTGTGTTAGCCAGCTGGGGCAGGAGGAGTATCGATTAGGTAAGACTTGTGCAGAACAAGACTTGAGAGCTGAGAAGTCAGCTGCACCCTAGGTTGCTCAGAAATGAAATTTTCCATTTCTGATAAATGTGGAGATGAATGTTGAGAATGTAAATATTTTCTCACTGGGTGAATGTGGGAGTCTTAAGGACACAGGCTCCTAAGCTAGCTTGTCTACTGCCTATAAATTTAAATAAGACATCTTTCAGAGCCACAGTTTCTTCATCTGTTAAATTTGGGCAATAGCATTTTCCCATAAATGTTGAGAATTCGATTAGGTAATCACTGTAAATAATTTGGCACCATACCTGGCACAAATTACCAAACATGGGGTTATTATTAAAGATAACAGAATAATTGTGTGAAATGGGTTGGAATTAGAGACATCAGTAGGAATTCATTTTTTAGCTTAAGATGGGAGATAGCTCTGTACATATGTGTGTGTGTGTATATGTATGCACAGGTTAATAACTATACATGTATTACCTAACCCTCCAAGTGAGAGGGCCTGGAAATAAGATTACCCTAGAAACCAGTCACACAAGCATATTTAACGCCCAGAACTTGGTATCTAATGGCCCCATTCAATGAGAAGAACCAAGACTCCTTGGAGAAATGGTTGATGTTAGGATTGAGGTGCAAAGCTGAGTATTTTATAAGAGGTTTATTTTGCTTATGGGTCTAGAGATTCAAGGGCGTGGTACTGGCTCAACTCTGATGAGGACTGCCTGACTGGATCATCACAGATCATCAAACAAGAACCCTGGAGAGAAGAACAGGGTGGCGGACACCTCCCATGTGTTAAGGCAGAAACCCAGGAGAGGGGAGGGGCCAGTCTTGGGCCTCCCTCAAGGCCCCATTATCTCCCAACATTGCCATGGTGAGGACCCAGCTTCCAACATACAAACCCTTGGGGAACACACTCAGTCTCTTCAAACCGTAGCAAAGATACCACATACATTAATCACAAACTCTGCTGAGTAAAAGAACAGACATTCCCATAAAAGATTACAATTATATAGTTCCGTTGCTTAAAAATCAGGGAAATGTGCATTAAAATACAGTGACTGAGAGCACATTGCTGGTTACCTAGAACTGAGGAGTGGATGCAAAGACCAAGAAAATGCAGTTATAAAGGGGACACAAGGAAATGTTTGGTGTGACAAATACGTTTAACTTAGTAGTGGTAATATCTTTATTTGAGTGCATGCTATGTTAAAACATCATATTAGGACTGGGGAAATAGTCAGTGGCACAGTGCCTTCCTGGCAAGCGCAAGGTCCTGAGTTTGATTCCTTGTACCAAAAATTCACATCAGACATTTTAGATATGTGCCATTTATGAAAGGCTAACTATAGATACAGTTTTATGAAAAAGTAAAAGAATATTAGTAAAAGCAATAGTGTTTGCATTCTTGTACACAGTGCTTTTAGTCTTATAGGCACTGTACA